TTTTCAAGTTTTTTTGTTTGATTTTAAAATTAATTAGAACTAAAAAAACATCAGGGAGCATACCGAATTCTAACTTGAGCTTTTTTAGCACACCCTAGTTTAAATATACACTTGTTTTGTATACTGAGAACTCAACTTTCTCAAAATATAATATTAAGCAAACATTAACAAACTTAAATGAAAGAAATTATAAAACAGTATCATACCTTACAAAACTTATGAACCATTGGACCACATTTGTCAACTAGGTGTCTATCCAAATCAAAGTCCTATTATTACGAAATGTTCATCAACTATTTAAACATTCAGTAAATCCAATTTTAACTACATTTTTACACAATAGTTTATATATATATATATATATATATATATATATATATATATATATATATATATATATATATATATATATATATATATATATATATATACATTTTTGAAAAAAATCATTACCTTAGATTCAAACTTAGTAAACTCTTTTACAGCTTCATGACATTTATCAGTAAGATGTTCATAGTTATTTTGTAAACACTCAATTTCCTAAAAGTTCAACAAAAAAAATCTTTTCATTTGTAATAGTAATAAAATGAAATTACTGAAATTCTGAAAACTAAAACATACATATAATATACACTAATTTACTAATTTGCCAACTGAAACTACTATCTTTTACAAAAAAAACAACAACAACAAAACAATAAACTAATTAACTATCAAACAATTGTTCTATACAGTTTGAAAAACTTGACTTGTTTACAAATTGGTCAAAAAACTTGTATTATTCTACCTGCTTTTTATCAACTTTATCTACACAATACTTTCCAAGATCAAGTAGACACGGTATTTCAATCTCAGGTAATAATTTAACTCTAGCTCCACGAATATGCATTATACGTCTGATGTGGCCAGCACATTTTTCATTTACCTAAAGTATTCAAACTAAAATTAAAAAAGGAAACCTACCTCCCCTTCTTTGACTTTATCAATACAATGTTTTGCAAGGTCAGTAAGACATGGAGTTTCTAATTCAGGCATTAACCGAATATTTGTTGCGCGCTGGTGCATGACTCGACGAATATGGTTTGCACAAATCGGGGAAACCTATGAAAATTTTTTTTAGTTTTAAGTGTTCTTACACATCATTGTGTTTATAGAAAATAAAAGCAAAAAAAAACAAAAAAAAAAACACTTAAAAATAAACTATTTTATAACTAAAATGGTTATGTATGGGTTGGCAAATGTATTATCATGCTTTTGGGAAATTAGTTTAATCAAACATGCAGAATGTATTTATGAACAAAACATTTTGTTGATTTTACGGTGTAATAAATTAACATTAAAAACCTAACTGATATAACACAACTGTAAGATTAGGTAAAACAAGGTATTTCTTGATACCTGATGACATTTAACATAAGACATAACAATTCTACAAACTTAAAGAAGAAGAAAATGAAATTATAGTTTTTTCTTAGAAAATATTTATCAACATTAAAAATTTTTTATACCTTTAAATTAGCACAAATACATTTATGAGTAAAGTTGAGAGAGTTTGACATTTGAAATTAGAGATTGTTCTGATTTTAAAATGTTACACTATTTAAAAATAAGTGCTAAACTGATTAAAAATAATACCACAGGTAAAAAATTCATAATTAATTCAGATACAAACTGTTTAGTTTATATCTGATTGTATCTTTCAAAACACACATAGAGTTAAATGATCCAACATTGAATCAGGTGAGGCTTTTTAATTATGGCAAAGATAACTGAAAAAAACAAACTCTGACATTAAAGCCTAAAGTTAATTTCGGGTAATGTTACAAGTGGTGGCATCACAATAAAAAAACACAGTTCTGATTTGCAAAACACCAGAAAAGACATGGTATAAAAAAATTGCTTTTTACACACCTTTGTCATATTAAAATTAAAATCTACACAAGTGTAGAGCCATGGGCCATGTTAAATTTAAATAAAATAAACAAAACAAGGTGAGTATGTGCAGGTCTTATTACAAAAATAAAATCCCCCAGCGCAACATATTAGGCTCATAAAACTAAAATATATTGTCAACAAGTATGAGTATGTGTGAAGATTTTTACAAATTAAATAAAAAATTTAAAATGTATCTTATAATAATTGTTTATATATTATTGTTTATATATTATATAAAATTTTATGGAAAAAAATTTAAAATGTATCTTATAATAATTGTTTATATTTTTTTTCAATTTTACAATAAATGTTATTTATTAAATTTTGTTTGATGAAAAGGTTTTGTTCAAATAATGTAACTTTTAAAATACAATTAAATTTTATTATGATTATTTTGAACAAACTACTTGATAACATAACTATATAACAGTTAAAAATTTAGTAATTCTTAATTTAATTTTGTAATTAACACTTAAATTACAAAATGAAAACCTGTGCTCTGATTTAAAAGAAATGAGGTTAACAATTAAAAGAAATGAGGTTAACAATTAAAAGAAATGAGGTTAACAATTAAAAGAAATGAGATTAACAATTAAAAGAAATGAGGTTAACAATTAAAAGAAATGAGGTTAACAATTAAAAGAAATGAGGTTAACAATTAAAAGAAATGAGGTTAACAATTAAAAGAAATGAGGTTAACAATTAAAAGAAATGAGGTTAACAATTAAAAGAAATGAGGTTAACAATTAAAAGAAATGAGGTTAACAATTAAAAGAAATGAGGTTAACAATTAAAAGAAATGAGGTTAACAATTAAAAGAAATGAGGTTAACAATTAAAAGAAATGAGGTTAACAATTAAAAGAAATGAGGTTAACAATTAAAAGAAATGAGGTTAACAATTAAAAGAAATGAGGTTAACAATTAAAAGAAATGAGGTTAACAATTAAAAGAAATGAGGTTAACAATTAAAAGAAATGAGGTTAACAATTAAAAGAAATGAGGTTAACAATTAAAAGAAATGAGGTTAACAATTAAAAGAAATGAGGTTAACAATTAAAAGAAATGAGGTTAACAATTAAAAGAAATGAGGTTAACAATTAAAAGAAATGAGGTTAACAATTAAAAGAAATGAGGTTAACAATTAAAAGAAATGAGGTTAACAATTAAAAAACGATCCCTAAATAAAGTAAGAGTTTACTTGAACTTTTAATTAATTTTTAAAAACTCAATCTAAAATATGTCCACAATGATCATATAAATTTCTTTTTTTACAATATGATAGATATTATTTAATTTAAAAACAAAACAAAGTTTTGTTTCAACAAAAACATTTTAGAAAAAATATTTTATGAAAAATCAAGTAATTAAGTTTTCTCCTTCCTGATTACTTGAAACAAACCCAATTTATACTGTAATTATCAGGTTAACAAAAGTTGTTTCTAGCACAGGTTGAAACTGTTTTAAAAGATTGAAACTGGTTTAAATTTTCTAAGGTCTTTAATTTCTAATAAAAATAAAATAACACTTAGTTTAAAACAGCCATTTAAATAATCCAATTATAAAAGAATAATTATTTTTTTTGGAAAAAATAATGGAAAAACATCCATGTGGTGACATTGCAGTCCAATACAGTAAATTTATAAGACTTTTAAAGCAAAAAACAATTAAATAAAACAGAATCATGCACCAAATGATAAGATATTAAACTTAGGATGGTTACAGAGGCAATATTAAAACTAGGATTGTAAATTTTCAGTTGTTAATTTTAAAATCAACTTATAAAAATTACTTTGTTTAAATTTAATTTAAATATTATTAATGTTTAAATTAATATTTTATATTTTCAGGATAATAATTCTTTTTTTTATTTTTGAAAAATATTTATTTATTGGTTATTTAGTCAAATTATGTATAAAGATGAATAAATAAATTAAACCGCAAGTAAATAAAAAGAAAAGAAAAATAATACCTTTTTTTTTACATGACTTGAATCCATAGAATTACGATACAAGCATGCTATGACAAAATTGCCAGGTATTTTACTCTCAGATTTTTCATTGAATTCTGCAGCATGACAAATTTCTTCTGCATCATGTCGGCAATCCAAGTATAGTTCTGTATCCAGTCTGAAGAAATAATATACAAATATATATAGAGGCTTCACACAAATGGTAGGACATCGCCTAAACCTGCCTCTACATTTGTGTAAGTTAGACAAAAAAAACTTTCCAAAATATAAATTAAAAATAAATAAAATTTAATATATTAATGTTTAATGAGTTTGATAACAATTAAATACAATTCAGTACAGCTAATCTTATTTAACTCTTAAACTCATTTTTTATTTTTTAAAGTTGATCAAAAAAAAAAATTTCAAAACAACATTTTATATTAGTTTTTATATAATTAATTTCAATATATTAAGTGTGAGTTACCTAGAGTGTGCACAATTTGGCCAGTTTAGTGCACTCAAATAAATTTGAGCATATGAAAGAGATAAAGACATAAAAATCTGAGCATATGAAAGAGATAAAGAATATATGAAAAAGATAAAGACATAAAAATCTGTTTAACAAATCAAAATTACATAATTAAACAATAATAATGAATAGGAAAATGTTTTTAATTGTTATACTTTTGTAAGCATTTTAACTAATGTTTTAAAGTAAAAAAATGTTATATAGAGGTATATTTAACTTATTAATTCAATGTTATATATATTAATATGTTATATATATATATATATATATATATATATATATATATATATATATATATATATATATATATATATATATATTTATTTATATATATACTCTTGCATGTCTCTTGCGTGGCATCAAAAAATGTTTCCCATAAACTGTAGTTTTAAAGAGCGCGTTAATAAACCAGACCAGAAAAAGTTTTAAAAATTAAATTTTTTTTTTTAATTGATAGACTGCCTGGCCAAACCAAACCCTCAGTCGATGTAGCAGCACTCCCTTGCGAGTCAGGCTATTTGTCAGTCGACGTAGCAGCATTCCCTTGCGAGTCAGGCTATTTGTCAGTCGATGTAGCAGCACTCCGTTGCGAGTCAGGCTATTTGTCAGTCGATGTAGCAGCACTCCGTTGCGAGTCAGGCTATAAGATAGTCGATGTAGCAACATTTACGCATGTTTAAAAAATGTTTTTTATTAAATCAATAACAAAAACACCACTAATTAAAAAAAACTTTCTAGTCGTTATAATTGCGGTTTTTTAAAAATTTTTTAAAAAACAATTAAATTTAATGTACTTCCGCATAAATTAAGAGACGAGGTAATTAAAATTGTAGTCGTAAGAGACTTTTTTTACATTAAAATGCTCTTAAAGCTACACTATATGGGTATATATATATATATATATATATATATATATATATATATATATATATATATATATATATATATATACAGGCCTTGGCGGGAATAGATGAGTATGAGAGCGGAAAAAAGCTTTCCTAAAACAGACTTGGGGAGCTGTGTGACAAAAAAAGTGATCGTTGCAAAACAACCGTGACTTTAAAAGGCACGGTTGTTTTGGAACAACCGTGCCTTTTAAAAAGCATTTCAGTATATTATGCGAATAATTTTTTCTAAATGACATTGTGTTTTTTATTTTCTTTAAAATGATAATTATACTTTTATGAGAAAAATTATGCTTTTGCGAGAGCCGTAAATAGCTCTCATAAACCGTTTCAGGGGAGTGTGAGCGAGAACGAGAGCTAAAGCTATCGCTTCCTGCAGAGGCCTGTATGTATATATATATATATATATATATATATATATATATATATATATATATATAAAAGATTATTGCATGATATTTGAAATTTGTTGATGAATATAAACTTATATAAAAATACTAAAGAAAATATTTTATAAACTTGTTGCTCCCACTTTTAGGGCTGGAATGGCCCAAAAATTGGTTGTTTTTTTTTTTGTCCCTAAGCTCCAATCACTGCAGTATATATATATATATATATATATATATAATATATATATATATATATATATATATATATATATATATATATATATATATATATATATATATATATATATATATATATATATATATATATATATATATATATATATATATATATATATACAGGGCTCGAATTAATGTAAAAAAATCTAATAGCGATTTTTTTGTTGCTCATAACTCCTTCCCCCTTCTCCCCCATGGGGGGGGGAGGGCATTATTTATTTTAACTTATTTATATTAACATACATAATAAGTCTCATTTTTGCATAAGATGTCATAACATTTACGGTTAGCAGTTGTAAAATAGCTTTAGTTATAGTTTACATTATTACTATTATCATATTGCATTAAATCTAACGGCTGTATTTTTGTAAAATCAATGAACTTGATATTTCTAACCTCTTTTAATTAATTATTTCATCTTCTATTTTATTTACATATTTTAAACTGTTTAAAACAACTAGAATATTTAATTTTCTATAAATTTTTAACAGTAAAAAAAAATTATTTAAAACTCTAATTTTGAAACAGTTATAAAAAACTATTAAAAATGACGAAAACATTATTGTGATAAAATGTTAAAACTTAACATTTTGACGAAAACCTGCGCAACAAACAAGAATGATAATTAAATTCTTATTAAGTCAGTTTTCTTATCTAAGTAACCTTATCAAATTCTGATGATATTTTTATCTATTGCTTTTTCATTCAATGCATTTTTTAATAAAAGTTAGCGTTCACTTTTTTCATTCAATAAAATAAAGCAAAAGAAAAAAATGTGTCTAAATAATTGAATCTTTTACGATCTAATACTTTTTTTGATTGTTAATAGAAAAAGTATTAGAACGTAATCATAAATATTTTTATTGTTTTGTAATAATTTCACTAGTTTAATGCTTAGAATTTTTCAGGATTTTTACTAACGTAAAAATATTTTTACAAAGCTAAAAATCATACGCTATTTAAAGTTGTTATTTGATATTTTAATTTTAAGCGGTTACAATGCGCTAAAATAAAATTGTGCACTGCCAGTGAGTCTTTTTTTATTGATATTGTTCCTGGTATGATCCAGGTCATAGAAAACAACTTTGTTTGACTTATCCGTTTTTCAAATTTTTTACAAAAACTGCATCTTAATCTTATAACTTCATCTCCATTTAAATCGTATTATAACTCCCAATTCAAAAGTTTTTATTCCCAATTCCCACTTTTTAACTGTAGATAATCTGCATCTGTGGTCCTTATTTGCATCCATTTATTGCTATTAATTTAAAGTTAGCAAGTATACTAACAAACTTTAGAGAATTTTTTTTTAATAACTAGTTTAGAGTCTGTATTGCCTTCCACAATTCTTTGCAAATTAAACTTATAAAAATATCATTAAATTTGTTCAAAATGAATGAGCAAAATCAGAATAAAGCCCTTGAGAATTCGAGTTAAGAAAATGACTTTTCAATCAATTAACTTTTATTTCTTTTTTTAATCAAAATCTTTTATTACTTGATTCGAAAAGGTATTTTTTTACATTTTTACTAATACATTTTTGCTAATTGATTTTCTAAATATTTTATTTTTCTTTCTTTTACTCTATGCTCAGCTTTTAAAAAAATTTATTGTTAGAGTCACTGCAGTTTTATACTGTAAAAGAACGCTAAATATTCCCGATTAATATTAATTATCTAAAATTAGATTTTTCTAAAATGATAAAAGAATAATCGCAAAAAAAAGAAAGGTCGCAAAAAAACAAGTTTTAAGAAAAACTAATCGCGAAGGAGCGAAAAGTAATCGCGATAGCGATACGCTTAATTTGAGCCCTAATATATATATATATATATATATATATATATATATATATATATATATATATATATATATATATATTAATATGTTATATACATGTTAACTTAATTAATTTAATATGTTATATAGAGGTATATTTAACAACTCAGGCATATTTCAAATTTAGTAAGAACACCAGAAGGTGTACTTCAGAACATAAGGAATAACTTTTAGTGTTTTTTTTAGTGTCTAATAATAAATGTTTGATCTTTAAACTTTTTTGAGTAAGTGTTACACTCATAGAAAGAAACTAGATCTGCTGTAATGGTATAAACAATAAAGGTATAAAATAATATAAACAAATGTTACAATGGGCAATATTTCTATACACAGTAGATCTGTTTTAATGGTGGTCAAGAAAGTATAGTAATTTTTAGTATATTTAAGTATATAACCAAACTTTTCTATGTTCATAATAATATGAAACATTGATTGTTTTGCAATTATTTACACTAACAAGTGTAATGTAATCTTAAGAATTTTTGTTTATATATATATATATATATAATTTAAAAAATACCTAAAATCGCGTGACATAAAGTATTGCAGATGAAACACTTGGGCAGAACATTCCTCTGGCATTTTAGCTGAATGTGCATTATCCATTAGACAGGTAAGTACACTAAAAAAAATGCATTTGATAAAAAAATATTCATAAACATGTGAGATAAAGATCATAAAAACAAACTTACGCTGTGTCATCTTTACCAGAACAAAGAGTTGAGATTGCAGACTCGCAAGCCAAATACAATGCTCTATCAACCTTATAGTTGCTACCAGCTCCTGTTTCTCGTAGCACCTCTGCTATCTTTTAAAATGGAATTAAACAAACATAAAAATTTACTCAAAAATATATATAAAATAAATAATCATAAAATATTTTAATAAAAACAAACCGATGTAAAGCACTCTTCGCTCAAAGAATTATTTTCTGGTGCTAATGCCATTAAACAATCCATCATGTAGCCATTATCACGATTACCAATATATTTTGAGCAATGAGTATGAATTTCAGCTTCACACTTTGCAACAATAATCGGATTTAACTGATAATTTTCAAATATTTGAATGGAAAACGAATTCATTTCAGTTTGACAAGCAGGGTCAACATTTTGACCTTTAAAATAAAAAAATTACCTAATAAAAGCTACCTGTATAAAGTTGCTAAACCTAATTTAAATAGATAATATCTGTAATATATTAAATATACAATAATATATATTAAATATAATTTATTTTATAATTTATATTAATAATTAAAGTTTTAAGATTTAATATATGATTTAAATATTTTAAATCTACAGTAATAAATTAATAAACTTGGGATGGAGGTGGGGGGGGGGGATCAGGAAGGGGCTTAAGTACATGGGATTGATGTATATAAATTTATACAGGTAAAGATTTAGGCAAGCAGTATGTATGAATGATACAATTCGATGAAAAATATGTCATAAAAATAGATATGCAAAGCCTCTATTTTTATGACATGCAGAGATACATTGATAAAATAAACTTTGATTTATTTTATTATAAATTTGAAATATATAATCATTGTCATATCGTCAATGAACTGAGTAGTGAAAAAAAAAAAAGCTAATATTAAATATGTTTCAGCTTAAAATACATAGGTTTATTGGTTAAAAAGATTTACACCTTTTTTTGTTATTCTGTGCTTTTACTATTATTAATAATATTATTATATTACTAATATTTTTATTATTATTATTTACTTAAAAAAAAAAAATTAAGTTTAAAACAATTTGTAAATTAGTGTTATCAGTAAATGCTAATGTAACTTGAAAAATGTATAAAAGTTTGAAAACAAAATGATAATGTACTAATTCCATTAAATAATTTAAAATTATATCAAAAATTATTTTAATAAATATAGTATTATTAGACTAGATTTATTTTTATAATTAGAACAGACTCTCCTTAGACCTTACCTTGTGAAATTCTTTGTTGCAAACACAATAAAAGATTAGATCCAGCACCATGCTCAGTAATTCCTTGTTGCTCACATTGGTATTTCTTGAAGTCAGCTTCACATGCTGACCAGAGACTATGATCAATCTAAAAAATTTGTCTAACTTTAAGATAATTTATTAAATTTTTAAAACTTCTTTTTTAAGTAAAAAAATAATAATTTTGTTAAACAATTATGATGTTCTTCTTTGTATTAAAATATACATTTATTTAGCCATTTGTTTTACAAGAAGTAAACCTTAAAGAAATCATTTTTTTAAATATACTATTTTACTTAAATAAAATTATATAGTAGTATAATAAGGTGTAGAATTTTTTTTTCATTTAATTAAAAAAAATTCATAATTTGTTACAATACCATTTTACTGTAACAAAATAAAAAAAGTATCCCCAATTACACTCAGTTTTTAACAAAAAAATTTGCATAATATATTACATTAATATAATAGGACAGATTGTTTTTTAATTTTTTTTGAAAAATAGGCATGGACTAGTTGATGGTAAGTGCAATTAAATACCATTTAAAATGATATGAAAATTTTAGCTTCACATTTGTTACTAATTTTTGAGGAATATATTTGTAAACAAATAAAAGTTAATTACATAAACCTTTTTTTGTAAAATAGTACATTGAGACTCAAAATACACACTCAAAAACTGCTGATTGTTTTTTCCATTTTGTTTAGATTTTTGATTTAGTAAGTGTAATTTACTCAACCATGTGTCTATTTAAGTTTAAATAAACTAAGTTTATATTAGGAGAAAATAAAATCAAATCGTTAATTTAATTCATTTTACGTTCATAAATGGATCTATTTTAATATTTATCAAAAAGAATATAAACTATTACTATTTAATTGGAAAGATTTAAAAGTAAAGTTTTATTTCTTTCCAATAATATTCTAAATTCATGTTTGGTTGGTAAACGAGTGTGACCGCACTCTATATCTGACCACACATATAATACTTAGTTAAAAAACATGGCCACAGCTTTTTAGATGTTTTAAAACATGGCCACAGCTTTTTAGATGTTTTAAGAACATTTCAAAAAGCATAAAAAAAAAAAAAACTTAACAAAAGACAACTGCTAAAAAAAGTTAACTAGAAAAGAAATGAATTCTTAACGTAGAAAAAAACTTAACTAAAACAAAATAAATAACGTTTAGAATAAATTATTTCTAAACTTCTCTCTTTTTTAATTTTTATTATAAAATTAAGCGAAAAATTTTAGAAAAAGTAACAACTTAATATTAATGATCATTAAGTAAAGAAACAAACATTCTTCAATTTATCAAAGCGTATAACATAATTCTTTTTTTAAATATTTATGTTTTATTTCAACAAGATTCTAATAAAACTAACGGTAGTTGAATTATGTAACAAATAAAAAAGTATATATATTTATATAATCATTTCATGCTTTGCGTAGTTTGCAATATATAATATAAGTTTAAAATATTTTAAACAATTCTTGTTAAGACAAACAAAAGAAATAATAAAATTGTTGTGTTGTTTGACCCTCTGTGCATCCACTGCAATTCACAATGTATATATGTATGCTTATGTTCAGTCGCCTGTAAGTTCCTGTATGTTTATTTAATTATTAATTTTATTAACTTTAATGATTATTATCTTTAAATTAATTTTACTGAAAACGCAGTTGTGGTTGAAAGTCTTATTTTTATAAAATCAATCGCACAAACATTTTTAAAAGACTTATTGTAAAGAATAAAAAATTAATATTATTATTTATATAATTATTATATATATAATTATAAACCTTATATATATAATATAACTATATATATATATATATATATATATATATATATATATATATATATATATATATATATATATATATATATATATATATATATATATATATATATATATATATATATATATATATATATATATATATATAATATAATTATAAACCTTAATAAAACTTTACATAATTTAAAAAATAAAACTAAAAATCTTCTTTTTATAAACAATCAATAAATGCATCTCATCGCTTAATTTAAAAGCGCTTTGCTAATATTAAAACATTTGATTACAAAAGATAAAGAATATCTAAGAAGCTGTGGTTAAGGTGTCACAACTAAATATAATTTGCATAGTCAAGAATAGAGTGCAATCGCTTCACGACCAAGCCTGTAAACTCAATGATTTTCAAAAATATTTTCTCTCAAAGTGTTATTTTTAATGCTGCTTTTATTTTGAAACTTTTTTATAAACATTATTTTATACAACATAATCAAAAATTAGCTTTTCTCAAAAAAGAAAACAAATATACAAAAATTCTTTGGGTGTGATGTTTTAACTTGAAATAATACACCCAACTCTACTAGTTCAATGACTCAGTTTCCAAATTGAACTGCCCTATTAATATGTGTTCATTTTTTAATTCTTAAACAATGCAAAATTATTAATGTATACAAAACAAAACAAAAAACATCTGCATTTTGCTAGTTTAGCAGAACGGTACTTAGAGAATTATACTTTATTTCATTATTTCTCCCCATTTTAAGCACAAATTACCTATTTATTAACATATCTTTCAAATATTGTCTTAAAAATTAATTTTCAAGATTAAAACTAGAAAGTTTGCTAAAATACCAACAAGCTGTCACATAAGTACTTTTATGGGCCATTGACAAAGTTTTTGAGATTATAAGAATACAATATAATAAATAAAAATTTAAAAAAATTTATATTAAATAATAAACATTTTGAAAAAAAAGAGAAATAATATAACTTAATAAAAATTAGACATAAACAAATTTAAAATAAAAAATTTAATAACCAAATTTTTTTTTACTACTTTATATGTAATTTCAAATCTGTTAAAACATATTAAAACAGCAAATACCTTAACATCTTTTTGCACCATCTTTTCTCGTGCAACTAATTTTAATGCACACTAAAAAAATATATACGACATCAAACTTCCAATAATTCAACTAAAACAACAACAAAGAAAACTATACTTAAAAAATACATAAAATCTGAAAAACATACTTGTTGTGGCATCAAGTCATTAGTAATATGTTCAGTTAAACACTTGTAAATACGTCCATCACCAGACTTAACATCACGACAAAAACGCTCTCGAGCTTCTTGACAAGCATAATAAAGTGGTCTATCAAGATGATAATCATCAGCCTGAAGTTCCGCAATTTTTAGTATTTGTTCTTGGCATACAGGAGATAGTTCATTAATATTTGCTTCCAGACAACTAACAACTTCACTTTGCTCATGCTGTGCCTAAATATATTTTATAACATACATGTTACAGTTATGTAGTAAATGATATATACATGTATATATATATATATATATATATATATATATATATATATATATATATATATATATATATACATATATATATATATATATATATATATATATATATATATATCTGCGTGGAAAATAATGGGCGGTCAACGGTCAATGACCGCCCGAAATGACTGAAATTGCTGTTTTGACCTCCAAAAAGAATTCTAGCCGGTCAAGGTTGACCGGTTGAAAAATCAGAGTTAGTCAGAAAAATCTTTTGTTAAACCCAATTTTAAATTTTTTAGATTTCATAACACCGTAAAACTTTGATAAAGCGTCTAAAACAATTTTATTGCTTATATGCTACTTTTTGAAGTAGAAATAATTAATAAAATTGCTTTTATTCACTTTGTTGGAATGAAGCGAATTAAAATTCGCATCGCTGCAACATGAAATTCGTCATCGTTTATTAATACTCGCTAATGCTTCAACGAGTATTATATATGGCGTAAACTATATATATTAATTTTTTTACTTCAGTTATTGAGATCAATTTTATTGTGTTTTTTTCCTTAACTGATTTACATTCTTATTTTATTATTATTTTAATAATAATATAATATACAATAATTGATGATTTTAACTAAGCACTAAATTTATTTTTGCTCTCTCTATATCTTTTTATTTATTTTTCTCATAATTTTTTGTTGCAAAATGCATTTAACAAATGACTTTTTTTTTCCTTCTTATTTTAAGTTTAATTTATTCATAGTCAATAAAATTTTAAATTATTAAGAAAGAGCGGCACACCAGGCTGCTCTGTGATGAAAATACAGTTTTTATATTTCAATTACGTTTATATTTCTGATGCCTGCGAAAAGAAAATTTGTATTTGAAGTTTTCGAGGTTGTTTGAATTCCCGCATTTTAGGTCAAAGCATTCAACACGCTTTGAGTTGTCTGTGTTGTCAAAGCATTCAACACGCCTTGACAACACAGTTGGTGAGTAAGTTTTTTCTTTCTGAGCAGTTTCAAAAAAACTGTGCTTTGAGTTGTTTTATGCGTCCACGCGGTTGAAGACTTTAGTTTAAAGACTCTGTTTGACTAAAGCAGGGTGAATAAGATGTTAACTTTATTATTTAGATAAATTTAAAATTACCAAATAAGCGTTTTCTTTTTTTTTTCTTCTACTGAATTCTTAAACACATATCAGTATAAAATTTCGTTTTAATTATCAGTATAAAATTTCGTTTTCATTATCAGTATAAAATTTCGTTTTAATTAACATATAGTAGTATTATAGAAGTATTTCATAAAACGGTTATTAAATAACAAGTATTCAGTTTAAATGGTACTAACATTATTATCAACTAATTACCAGCAGCAGTTTATAAAATGATTTTTAATGAAACTTAAACAAATGAAAGTTACAAAATGATACAAGTGATAAATATAATGTGCAATCGCTTGAGCGTCTTTTTTCTCTTATGAATAGAATTAAATCTGACACAAGAAATTGATTAACCGAAAAACGGCTAAATAATTTAATTCGGATATGCACAGATGAAACAAACAGTGACGAATTTGATGTAAATCCTGCCATTGAGTTATGGGCCGAAGATGCGTTGCGAAGGCCTACACAAGAAAACACAAAAATTTATTCAAAAAAAGAAAAGAAAAAAACTATAAAAACATTAGTTGATTTGGAATCGTCATCAGATGAAACCTTAGATTATAAATCATTATAAATCTTAAAAAATAAACTTTTAAGTTACAAAAAACTGTCTAAAAAGAAACATGCATTCGTTAATTTTAAATCAAGTCTTTATTTTATTTACATGTCATGAAGAATAATTACTGAAATAAAAATTTTAACAAAGAAAAAAAAAAAAATTTGACCGCCCAAAAAAAAATTTGACCGTCAGTTTTATGTATTAGCTGGTCAATTTTTTTTTTTATTTCAATTCACCTCCTCAAGGCCGAGAAGGCCACTACAGACGAGGAGGCTACTTATTTGTGGCTATAACCCTTTCTCAACTCTATAACTCCAAAACACAAACCTTGACAAACAAGGCCGCTGCGCGGAGAAACGAGTTGAGCGCGGTACTACCAGGGACATGGTGGGGATCGAACTCGGAACCTCTCGCTTATGAAGCGAGCGCTCTACCACTACACCACTACCGCAATTTGACCGCTCGCCTTTGATTTCTTATTTTCCTTGCTGATATATATAATATATATATATATATATATATATATATATATATATATATATATATATATATATATATATATATATATATATAATATATATACATACATATAATATATATATATACACATACATACATACATATGTATATATAATATATATACAATATATATATACATACATACATACATACATACATACATACATACATACATACATACATACATACATACCATACATACATACCATACATACATACATACATATATATATATATATATATATATATATATATATATATATATATATATATATATATATATATATATATATATATATATATATATATATATTTCTTGCTTAATTATTTATACAATAATATTTATTTTAAATCAGTTCTTTTATTACTTGTAGTATGATTGTATATCGTAGTATATATACTTATAGTATGATAGTAATACTAATATTTGAAGTAAAAAAAAAACAATATAACAATGAGTGATAAAAAATAAAAAAAGCATAATTGAAAAAAAAATATATAAGAATGAATGACTAAATTAACTTACATATTCTTCTGATGGCTTGCTAAGTGATCCACAGTTAGTTTTTTTAACATCAGCTTCACAATGATCATAAAAACCTTTAATAAGTCGATAATCTTCAAAAACTATAGCTGACATTCGCATCAAAAACTGTTTACATTTTTGATCATCAACCATATAACGATGTTCCAAGAGACAATTCATCAAAAATCCAGGAGAAGTTATTGAACTCATGGGACATTCTTTTAAAAGCTTAAATTAAAGTGTTACATACTGTGTTATGTTAATCATGTTAATATGATGTTAAATTATATCTATGCGTGTGTTGGTATACATTCAACAAGAAATAAAACAATTTAAAAATATGTATTAATGTATTATTACAAAGAAAACAATAAATCCACTTACTTTAGTATTTATTGTTGATTCACAGGTTTTGTATGCAGCCTGGTCGAATCGAGGATCACGTGTTAAATTATATTTGTAGTGCCACAATGTCTTGTAAAAAAATGAAACAATTTTACTATTAATATAAATAAGACTTGAATAATAATAATATTATTATTACTACTACTACTACTACTACTACTACTACTACTACTACTACTACTACTACTACTACTACTACTACTACTACTACTACTACTACTACTACTACTACTACTACTACTACTACTACTACTACTACTACTACTACTGTGATATTAATCCTATTAATAAGCAGATTTATATTATCATTGATAGGGAAGGCAAATTATCACGAAAGTAAAAAAAATCGGAATTTGGAATTCAAAATTAAAGTTTTTCGAAACTCGATCGAATTCCAAAAATATTTAAAAATTTTTTGTCTATAAAAATAATAAAAATAACTTATTTAAGATAATTCATTGTTATTTATTGCATAAACAATACTTTTTTTAAAAATAAAAATGGAACATAAAATTATACCAAATTCAATTAGTACAGAAACATTCTATGGTATATCATTTAATAATAAAAAATATAAAATTGTTTTATTTGCCTAAAATATGCCTTGAGGAAGCAGAGATCACTTGAAGCTGCATCTCCGAGTCTCATTTGAACTTTTGTACAAAAGTTAACAGCAATTGAGAAGGTTCGCTCAGACTCCACACTCGATGGTGGAATCAAAATCAAATATGAGTAGACGGACTCTAATAAAGAGCCACGAACGTCGTTCTCTTCAAAGAATTCATTTCAGATTTAATTTTAGAAATTAAGCTCCTATTTATTATTTAGTTGAGATGAGTTGGACGTTATGTTGGACAATAAATTCAATTGGACTTTGTTCTCCAACTTTTGCATTAATATTAAGAGTTTAGTTTGTTCTTCCAACATCAGTTCTATCACATCATCAGCTTCTGACTGCTTGCCTGAGGAAGTTTCCATGTTAGTGTTAAATATAAATCTTTGTGCAAAGTTTTCAATAACTTTGGCTATTGTTTTTTTTAATGGTCAAGTGAAAGATGTGTGAATCTCACTTTTTCCACCATTGTGTAAATACTGAAGACTTCCCAACACATTAGTTTGTCTTTGGCTAATTCGGTCTTCTTATTTCTTTTTTAATTTTAGTGAAAGTTCATCAGATCCGAAATTCTCAAGCATAAAAGAAAATGTCACATCAGCAGAAAGCAGATTTGCATCTTCTCGACAAAGGGCTTCAACAGTAAGCTTCACTGGGAGAAGTGCAGAGATGATGTTTTTAATCAATAAAATTTTGCCATCTAGAATAACAATATCAGATGCAATGTCAATCAAAGCTTCTTTAACACAGCTTTTTAGCTATTTAAACCTTTCAAGCATTTCAACTAAGCTATTCCATCTAGTTCTAGTGTCCATAATAAGTTGCAATTGTTTTCCAAACTCTTGCTTCATGTACACTTGAAGAATATCATTTGATGTTCTTGAAAAACGAAATTTCTTAACAATCAAACAAACTTTTTTTATGAGAAAACTAAATCCAAATTCTTCATTATCAACAAGCTTAGCTTCATTATAAGTTTGTTCAATCACGCCATTTTCATCTTCAATGTATTCTTCATCCGATTCATCGAAGTCACTTACTTGATCTTCTATACTAACATTTACTGTATATGTGTGAGCTACCAATTCAGTTGTATTTAAATTATTATACGGAACATCAATTACAGCTAAATGTAATGCATATGCAAAAGCGCAACTGCTGATTACATGGTAAAAGCCATCCAACTTTTTGCATCACAGCTGCCCTTTCAGTTGTTATAGACATATTATCTTTATTGATATTTAGATTGTTGTCTTGCAATGTGGTTTTTAGGGGCGTAATGTATTTCTCTGCAGGAAAACGTCCTTAACAGGTACTAAACCTAAATTCCAAAACTGTTTCTTGCCATGGACATTCAGATTTAATTAACATCAGTTTTTCAAAGATGTCCATTTATCTAGAGTTAAGCAAAATCTTGTTCCATCTCCTTTTAAATTTATAAAATCCTGCATCATTTTAGCTCTCATTTTTTGAGCGTATTATAAAACCCTTTTGCGAATCGAGTTAGGTGATTTTGGTAATACAAAATCTCGAGCGCCTCTAGCTAAAAATAAAATTCTCATATCAATAGACGTACAGAAAACTTTGAGTGGTGTATTATCCAAGACACACATTCATGATACGATTGCAGAAAGTGAATTATCTTTTTTGTTGAATAAATAGTTTCTAATCATCATTTTTAATGTGCTGCTTTCGGCACCTTTATTTTGCATGACATCCCATTTTAATACATTAATATTCTGTATTTTTCTTAAATGCGGTGTTATTGTTGAACCAGCGGTTTTTACTATTTAATAACATATTTTACCTTTTGCTGTTAGTTTTTTTGATCCTCTAAAAAATGAATCCAAACAGAATTTTGATTTTTACATTGCTTTGTATATTCAAAATAACTCTCCTTTGAAGATATTTTGATTAAAATTTAATATTGATAATAAATTTAATATTGATAATAATTTAACTTACTAAATAAAACAAAATTAAAATTAAATAGTTATCAAATAATGTTGTTAAATTAAAACTGCTATTATTCCTGCTATTATTTGCTTACCTATTTAAAAAATATTGATATCAAATAAAAATTATTACATGCAGATATGAAATGAAGACATAAAACTGTTAACTGCAATAACATAATAACACAATAAGCAAATCTCAACAAATTATTACATGTGTATATGAAATGGAGACAAAACCATTATCTGCAATTTAGGAATGTTTTATCTATATCTACTTGTATTATGCAGGATAACTTGGTCAGGTTATCCTGATTGTCAGGTCATGTTATCCTGCTACTGGTAACATGTAACCCAGTACAATCTGCTTTATGTCCTGCTGCCTTGTAGGACATGCCTTTTTAGGCAAAGGCTAGGAGATGCTAACTCTAACTTAAAATACCCCCTGCCTTAATGCTAAAGTTTGAGTAAAGGCTAGAGATAGTGTCTTGATAAAAATACTCATCATGGGCAGATGTTAAATGCATCCGGCTACTGTCTTGTAGAAGGTCTCCTAGGCAAAGACTTAAGGGGTAAACAGACTCTATCTGTTGACCAGACTCGCACCCCTTCTTCATCTATTAGCCTGGCGCAGATGTATTTTTAATACATTGTTTCCAGTTTAGGATGTTGAATGCTGGATCTTCTTGACTCAACGCATGGGTTTTGCTTGTGTCTCTGTTTTGATGACTAGGCAACTCATTTTTATGGTTCTGAGGCCGGCTGGTAGTCAGGTTTCCCAAACTCTGTGGTAGCTCTCAGAGAGGACGATTCCATCAACAGCTGAAAAATATTTAAGTACTAATATTGCCATGTTGCGCATGGATGGTGTCCCTGTTTGTATATTTGGTGTGCATTGCTAAGGCCACATTTAGAGCCTTTTGTTACGGCTTAGGGTTTATTAATAGTAACAAGGCAATTGTTTGGGCTATTAAACAGTGTACTGAGTACTATCTATGCTTTGAGTCAAATTCTTTAGCAAATTTAAAAATGAATAAATTAACAAAAACAATAAAACACAAAAAACTAATGTCATCACCAAGTTCGCTAAACCTATCATTTACTAATATTCGTGGTCTTTGAAGTAACTTTTCTTCTGTTGAGTCTTATCTCTTACAAAGTTCACCAGACCTACTTGCTCTTCGTGAGACTAATTTGAGTTCAGCTGTCTCATCTTGCAATCTTAGTGCTGATGGGGATCTTCCTTTAATTCATAAATAGTCACATGCTTGGCCTGGGCATTTACATTTGTAAGAATTTAACCATTTGTCGGGAAACTAGGTTTGAATCCACAGACTACTCTTTTATGTGCCAACATTTAGCACCACTTCACTCTTTCTCTTTGTTCTATATCGCTCTCCTTCATCTCACGACTGCACTTTTCTTGATGTTATTTCTGATCATATTGACCAAGCCCTCTCTCTTTATCCATCAGCCAATATTGTTGTTGTCGGTGACTTTAATGCTCATCACACTGAATGACTTGGTTCTAGTGTCAGTGACTCTGCAGGCATTAAGGCCCACAACTTTTGTCTTTCTCAATCCCTAACTCAAATAGTCAACTTTCCAACTTGCTTTCCTGACAACCCAAATCATTTACCTTCTCTACTCAACATATGCCTTGTTTCTGATCCTAGTGTTCAGTTTCTCTACATTCACTCATAGGTGCTTCTGATCACGGTTTGATCTCTCTAAAAATATTATCTTACTCTTCTTCATCATCTGAATCCCCCTATCATTGTACCTCTTACAACTAAATCTTTCGTCTTCCTGTTGACAAATGCGCTTCTTAAATAACTTTGTGGATTCAGGCTGGCATGGAATCTTTTATTCCCTCTTGATCATTCCAGGTCAAGCTTCACTCTTTTCCATGGTTTTCCTCCCATTATGCAGCTGTAATTGCCAATCAAAATTGTTACTTCCATATCTTTCAGCAAAACTATTCTCCAGAAAACAGACGTCTGTTTACTATTGCTAGAAACCATTATAAAAAGGTTTTGTCTAACGCCAAAGCCCGCTATTCTCAGGTCATAAAATCTTGTATTTCATCATAAAATTTAGGCTCTCGTAACTTCTGGAGAACTTTTAATAGTATCAATAATAAGGGCAAATCTAAAAAACTCTACCTCTCTTGTATTGTTCAGACTTTGTCACCTCACCTAAAGACAAAGCTGAATTGTTTGCTAAAAACTTTTCGTCTATATCATCTCTTGATTCCACTAGTTGCGTTCTACCTGATATAGCATTCAAACAGGTTGATCAACATTCATATCACTCCAGCTTCTATATCTAAAGTGATTTCCTGTTTAGACTCTATTACAGCTTGTGGCCCAGACAACATACCTGTTATAGTCTTGCAGAAGTGTGTAATCATAACTTTAAAAACTATTCAACAAGTAAATGGGGTGTAGTGGTGTAGTGGTAGAGCACTCGCTTTATAAGCGAGAGGTTCCTAGTTTGATTCCCACCACGTCCCTGGTAGCACCACGCTCAACTTGTTTCTCCGCACAGCGGCCTTGTTTGTCAAGGTTCGTGTTTCGGAGTTATAGAGTTGAGAGAGGGTTATAACCACAAGTAGCCTCCTCATCTGTAGTGGTCTTTTAGGCCTTAGGGAGGTGAATTACAAAAAAAAAAGTGCTTATCAGAGTCTTGTTTTCCAGCCTGCTGGAACATCAGTTCTTCATCTTGCTTTCCTGATTCATATAATTTGCAATCTGTTAAGTCATCTGTCAATCATTATCTTGCTCTACAATCCTCATCTTTTCTCCTCCAGTAACTTTCAACTCAAATTAGTGGTTGCTTACAGCCTTGTTGGAAGCGAAGATGTTAAAAAAAAAAAAAAAAACTATAATCTACAATTATTTTCTCTTTTTTTTTCTTATAGAATTAGAATGCAAAATATTTATATGTACAGAAACAAAAACACAATTTAAAAGTTGAAGAAAGGAAAAAAAAAAATTTTTATTTCGGAATTTGCTGGAAAAATTTTTGGATTTCAAAACTATATTATGAAAACAAATTATGAAATTTTCGAATTTCGAGATGCAATTCCTAATCATTGACAATAACAATTAAGCACATTTAAAGTAATTAAAGTTGACCAATTTTTTAAAAACTGCAATTCTATCTGCAAAACAAAAATTGTTTGTTTACATTTTTTTGTTGCTTATTTTGCTTTATTTGTATTTGTTTTATTTCTTCGTTGCTTTTTTTGCACATATGCCTGATTTGAATAGGTAAAACATGCATGAAGTATACATACATTTACTGACTTAAATAGGTAGAACATGAGAGGAATGTACATACATCGAGCATTTTGTACAGAACGGACAATCTTTATACCAACCCAAAATATTCACTAAAAAAAGTTCACGCTCTAAAATGCCATTCACAAGAAAAATGACAAGTTCAAGTGATAAAATGCCAACATTTTTCTTTTTTTAATGATTAAATTAATAACTCCAGTATTATTAACAAATAGTAACAATGACTAGTTCAACTAAAAATAATTTATTCTACTATGCACAATAAAAACAAACTATTATATTATAATACAAATAGTTTTATTCTATACTATATTTATGAGATAAAAATGTATTAGGTATTGTTTTCATTTTTTGTTATTTATTTATGAATTTTAACATAGTTAAAATTCATAAACAAAATACAATATACAATAATAACAAGTGGTAAACAATATATTGGCATAACAGAGGGTGAATGGAAAAAACGTTTCGCCAATCATAAACAATCTTTTAAAATAAAAAGTATTCAAAAGACACCATGCTGTCAAAATATATATGGGAATTAAAAGATAAAAATATTGATGATTTTATACAAAATTGGTCCATCCTTAAAACAGCGCCTGCATATAACAATATTTCCAAAAAATGCATACTATGTCTACAAGAAGAATTTGAAATAATAACACATCCAAACCAAGAATGTTTATTAAACAAAAAATCGGAATTGATTTCTAAATGCAGACACGAAAAAAAGTTTCTCCTAAAAAACTATAAAAATAAGTGAGCTCAAATAATAGTTACATCAAATCCCCCTTTTAAAAAATATTTTTTTTAAAAAGCATAAGTAATCATTTCTAAAGAATTCTTTTTATAATAGTGTCAGCAAATTCCACAAATGTGTGAAAAATTGCAGTAGTTAAGACATGCGACTTCGTGTAAGGGTGGTCCAAAAAACAACATTTTTAAAAAAAATCTGCTCCACAACCCTAAATGTGTTCTATATAATACAAAAACACTAGGTTATATATATATAGTGTATATATATATATATATATATATATATATATATATATATATATATATATATATATATATATATATATATATTTAGCATCTTCGCTTCCAACAAGGCTGCAAGCAACCACTAATTAGTGTTGGAAGTTACTGGAAAAGAAAAGATCAAGATTGTAGAGCAAGATAACGATTGACAGACTACTTAAAAGATAGCAAATTATATGAATCAGGAAAGCAAGATGAAGGAAGCGAATTCCAAAGAACTGATGTTCGAGGAAAAAAACTAGACGATTAAAAGTTTTTGGAGCACTTAGGAACAGTAACAGAAAAAGGATGAGACTTAATTGAATGACGAGTAACAAGAGAATGAATTTTTGTAGGTGGCACAAGAGACGCTAGCTCTTTAGAGCAGTGCCCATTATAGTATTTGTAGAAAAAAGAAAGAGAAGCAACATTACGACGATGTGACAGAGGTTGAAGGTTGGCTGCCAGAGAAGGTCCAACTATGTTTACAATTTTTTTTTTTGCACCTTGTCTAAAAGAGAAAGGGCATCATTAGAAGATCCGCCCCAGATATGGCAACAGTATTCCATACAAGGCCGGATTTGAGATCTATATAGAGATAGAGAATAGAATCCAGAGTAAGAAAGTGTCGAGCTCGATAAAGAGAAGCGACATTAGCAGATGCTAATTTTGCAACGGATTTGATATAAGGTTTCCAAGAAAGATCAGAAGTAAGAGTTAATCCTAGAAGATGAAGGGTAGATGACTCATCAAGTACATTAGCGTTCAAAAATATAGAAAGGTCTAAATAATTGCGATAAGGATTGGCTGAAAAAAATTGAGTTTTATCTGAATTAAAGTTCACCACCCACTATTTATATATATATATATATATATATATATATATATATATATATATATATATATATTTTTTTTAAATAAATTAGTTCCTAAAACTTGTGTTCCTAAAAATTAGTTCCTAAAACTTGTGTACTTATAAAAATGTTTAATCTTGATATCCCCATAAATAAAATGAAAACATTTTTAAAAAATGGTACTGTGTTTTTCATTATCTATTGATGATTTTTTCATATTCTATTTAAAAAATTTTAAATAGATAATAATAATTTAAATTTAGAATAATTTTTAATTTAAGTTTAAATAATTTTTATTAAGAAGCTTATTATGTGTTAACAACATATAAGATACAAATAGAATCATTTCTATCGCTAACTTTTGCAAAATGTTTTTGAGTATATTAGGCTACATTGGAATTTATACATGTGTTTATAAAAATTGGTGGGTAAACACTTCCCACCCTCTAAAAAATCATATAAAATTTTATGATTTATTAGAATAATCATTATACAATTACCCGCAGTTATACAAAAAAAGTGGAAAGAATTATAAATGGTCACAATGTTTTGTTAAACAAAAAATAAAAAATTGAAGAAAATTGTATTTGTAAACAAAAAAACAACAGCCCAATGAATAGAAAATGTTTATCAAAAAGTGTGGTATACAAATGTTTGTTTCATATAAATAAAAACTGATAAAAAAATGGCTCAATAGAGGGTGAATGGAAAAAAACATTTCGCCAATCATAAGCAATCCTTTTTAAAATAAAAAGTATTTAAAAGACAACATGCTGTCAAAAAACATATGAAACTGAAAGATAAAAAAATTGATAATTTTATATTGAATTAATCCATCCTTAAAACAGCACCAGCGTATACTATTTTTAAAAAAATGATATGTAATTTTTTACTAACTTATATATTTTTTAATTAACACATACATGAAATGATAAACCTTTTATAGTTTGAAAAAAAAGTAAATACAATAATTAACTAATATTAAAACCAAAAAACATCACTTACTTCATGACATTCATCAGAAAGACTATCTTCATCTTTCTAAAAATATAAATATTTTGAAATTTTTTAAATTTAAATAAAAATCAAAACTTTTTAAATTATTTTTAAACATACTTATTTTATTTTTTCAGGATATATAAAAATAATCTTATTGAAAAATTTTATATTTATCTTATATTTTATTTATTCATTTTATATTTATTATAACAAAAATTTTATGCCTGCTGAAACCCACTTTTTAAAACCTCTTAAATTTTTAGTTTTGCAAAGCCATAAATTGCTCATGTAAACTAGTTTGGAAGAGTGTGGGTGAGAGCAAGAGCTAAATCTCATGAATGGCAAACATGCGCAAATCTCTGCACTTTTTCACATATCACATATGCAAGTTAGTACAGATCTTGTTTTAAATTTTGCAAATTTTATCAGAGAAAACACACTTTCACACAGTTTTGTTGATTATATGCCTCTCTTAAAATATCACTGCATGGAACATCACTTAACTTGATTCTGAGTTTTGCTAGTACAGTTTTAAATTTAACAAAAAAATGGCACTGTGAACAATTTGATTTTGTCAGCATCTTTTTTAATATTTAAAAAAATTTTTGAAAATCTTGTTTTTAAAAATTTTCCAGAATTCAGCTCACTCAAGCTTAAAAAATGAGTGACATTTCCAGTCCTAACTGCTGCTCCCACAATTCATTTCAACTAAAATGCTAGAATAAGGTTGTACATTTTTCCATTTAATTGATCTTTCTCTTGAAGCTCTTTGTTAAGTATATTGTAATATTGGTCAAGTCTACCAGAAATATGAACTTTTCAATAAACTTCTTTTCCTGGTGGATAATACTTGTTTATACTTTTGAAAAAAATCTATTATCTTTAGTCTTGAATCAAAAGTTTTTTTGAGCATGTTACCTTAAGAAAGTCATACCATCTCAGTATAATAAAACAGACCACCATATTTAGAGTCATTTTTAATAAGAAATTCAAAATCCTCAAAATGCCTATTTCATAAAGAGATGGACTTAATGCTGATTACTATTTCAACTATTAAAAACATGACAATTCCCACACCAATAGCAGTTGCTGTTAAATTTTGCTGAAGAATAATACAATACAGCTTAATGACAAGTTGTTTTCTGACATTTTATTTTCCAGTCTGGAAACAACCCAAATTATTTTTCTAACCATTGAGATACCACAATCTGTTTTAATTTAAATTAATTTGTTGTAAGTAATGTTAAACTTTTTTTTAACTTTTGTAATGGCCAGTAAAAATAATTTTTCAGTTGTTCTGCCTTGCAAGTAGCTCATCAGCAACACAAATAAAAATAGTATAAATTAATAATAAATACCACAAATAAAATTAGTTTAAATTAATAATAATAATTGAGCAGTTTATGATACATTGGTTGATTCATCAATAGCTATCAAATAATATTGAAATGAAAGTCTTTCAGTTAATAACAAACTCAGATCATCAGCAGTATCAGCTGTTCTTTGTGCATTTGTTTGTCTTAAGAGGGAGATATTTTTCAGGGCAAAAGTTTTTAAACGCAATTTCAAGAGATTTCTAAATAATACCCCTATCACTGAATGGTATACAATTTTTAGCTAAAAGAAGACTAACTTCATAGTTTGCAACAGAAGCATTTTCTGTTTCAGTATTTCATTCTTACATTTTGGCTAAGTTTGCAAACTTTAAATAATAATAGGATTAGTATTTAAATGTTTATTTTTCTTTTATTATTTTAATAAACTTAATTAGAATTGTTTATGTTAAAATAAATTTGTTTATGCAAAGTATTAACAATATAATAGCAATAAATTAATCAGTAGTTATAACTTAAGTGCCACAACCATTTGATAATCGAAAGATAAAACTATTTTTAAATTAGATCTTTATTTTAAATGTATATTTTTAAATATACTAAAAATAAAATACTAGATTCACTTTTAATTTTAAATTTGTATCAATTTATTAGTTACACCAAATCAGTTAAAAATTATCTTGTTGTACGCAATAATTTCTTGAGGTTGAAAATATAAGAATTAAGGTTGACAGTTTCTGGGAAATTTTGCTCAAAACTTCCGAAAATTTTCAAAAAATTTTAATTGTAATTAACTTATATTTATTACATAGTTTTATAAAATTCATTTCTTTGTTTCAAAAATATGTGTTTTATCATCGTAGTATTTGAGTATTATTTAAATATTTCAACAAAATATATAAAATAATATAGACCCACAAGCAAAAAATACACATCTTTTACTCAAATTTTTATAATGAAGTTTATCAATTTATTAACCCCACATTTTTTTAAAAAAGCAATAAAACACTCAAGTTGATATATGTTATTTTTACTTGTATTACTTTTGCGAAACAACAAAAATTAGATGTTTTCTGAGTTAACTAGTCTTTTGAGCTTGTGTATTTCTATTATTTATTAAAGTATTTCTAGCTTTTACTTCTTTTACTTTTACAGTGGATCCATAGGTACCCACTGTAAAAGTAAAAGAAGTAAAAGCTGTTGTTTGAGAAAGTCTATAAAAATTATTTATTCAGAAAGTTAGATAAATTTGTGTATATAGGGCTCGAATTAACGCAAAAAAATCTAATCGCAAAAAAAAAAAAAATTTTCACAATTAGATTTTAAAAATATAAATAGCTTGTGTTAATGTAAAACAACTTCGTGATGCTGATAAAGCAGCAACAAAACAGCATCACGAAGTTGTTTTGTTGCTGCTTTATAAAGTTTATAACCTTAATAACATAAAATGGTTTAAAATAAAACAAAGCAAATAAATAAAATAATTCTAATTAATAAACTAAAAAATTATTGTCACATAACTTAATGTTTGTGCAAAAACATGCCTATAAACCATACGAGTTTATAATCTATAGACCAAACGATAAAGATCAAAGAAAAAAAAATTAGATACCACATTTTTTTTATAATTTATTGTTTCTTGATCTAGAGGACTAATAAAAGTTTAAGTATAATCAAGTTTTTCATTCAAATGGTTTTAAATTGATGTTTTCATTCAATTTTTTCATTTAAATTGTTCTCCAATAAAAGGTGAAACAAAAAAATTTGGTTTAATAAATCGAATTATATTTCTTTAACTTTAAGAATACGCTTGAAAACGTTGAAGCAAAAAAGTAGTTGGTTTCTATTAGCATTGATTAACTATTAGGAAAAAAAAATTGTAAAAACATGTAATGTTATCTACCCATTCGAAACGGTAGGAGCTGTGAATTGTTCAGAAAATGTAAACATTAAAAAAACTCTTAAAAAATTGTTTATATTATTTTATTTCATTCAAGTTTTAATAACAGTGAAAATATTTTTTACGCTGCTTTTTATTTTTAAGTACCTAATTGAGCTTGAGTAAATAAGAAAATTATTGTTAATTAGTAAGTAACTCTCTTAAATAGTAAAATGTTTTAAGTATTGTAGAAAGGATAATTTGTAACATCATTGTATGTTTATAATGTATGTCTATAAACATGTCAAAATTTAGCAATAATAAAAAATAAACGACATAAGTTCTGAATAAATGTTTTCTATACTTTATTATGAACAGTTTGGCAAATAATTTATGCAAAAAAGTTGTATACAAGTCAAAAAAATTAAAGAGGTGATAAAGATAAATCTTTACAATACTTTAGGTTATGTTGTTGTTTAAACAATTTTAAACACAGCAGGTTTTTAGCATTCTTCTTATTATTTTTATTATAAGACAAAAAATCTTACCCATTAATTATAAAATAACTTATAATTAACTTATAAAATAACTTATAATTAACTTATAAAATAACTTATAATTAACTTATAAAATAACTTATAATTAACTTATAAAATAACTTATAATTAACTTATAAAATAACTTATAATTAACTTATAAAATAACTTATAATTAACTTATAAAATAACTTATAATTAACTTATAAAATAACTTATAATTAACTTATAAAATAACTTATAATTAACTTATAAAATAACTTATAATTAACTTATAAAATAACTTATGATTAACTTATAAAATAACTTATATTTAACTTATAAAATAACTTATAATTAACTTATAACCCATTAATTATAAAATAATCTCTAGAAAATGTCTAAAATTTCTGGAAAATTTTGAAAAAGTCCAGGAAATGGACTGTTCCAGGAAATTTTCATCCCTAATAAGGACAATTTCTTTTTATGTAATTTTTTAATGAAATAGATTTGAAAGATATTTTTTAATTTACTGCTTGTTGAACTTGGTTGAGTCATATTTGAAGTAGTTATGCAATATTGACATGAATCAAGTTTTATTGTATTTTTAAGTCAGAAGCTATATACATCTATACTATCAAAAGATAATAATTTTTGCTTTTTTGTTAATTATTTTATTAGTATTTATTCAAAGAATACTTTTCGCTGTTATTATTTTAATATAAATAGCAAAAAATATGAACTTTTAAAATCACACATGCTAACCTATATTGAACATCTTGCCAGCGCTTTTTCGTGCACTGGCTTTAAATTTCAAACAGAGAAGACTAAATAATATATATCTTTATAAATTGGTATATATATATATATATATTGTATTGAAGAATAAATAGACCCACATCATTTAAGGCACATAAGATGTCAGCCCAAAATGGTAATAAAGATTAAAGAAAGGAGACATCTCTCCTTTCATTAGAGGGGTGGCTAATTTGGAAGGCAAAATAGAAGGGAAGGGAGTGGAGGTAAATACATATATTTTTTTGTAAATATATACTTTTAACTAAATTTTAAAATGTTTTATAAAACTTTTGCAAATAATTAAAGTTTAAATAAAAAGATGATAAGTTCATTTTTGTTTTTTGTTATTTTTTATTTTGTTAAATTTTAAAAAACAACAAAAATTTTGTTAAAAATATGTGCTTTTTTTGTTCATTTTTTGTAAATATTGTTAATGTTATGTTTATTTGTAAATAATTTGTGTTAAACCAATGTACAATTTGTACATTTAATGACACATTTATGTTTAGTGTCGATTTGCAAACAAATTTTATTGAAAAGATAAATTTTGTTCCTATTTGTTAAATACTTACATTTTATTGTAAAAAATTTAGTTAGAAAGATATATTACTTTACCTCAAATTTTTGTAGTTCTTTTAGAAGGAGCTATTAGGCTCCTCCTATTGAAATAAAAATACATAAATCTTTTTTTAAAAATATAATACAATAACGTTCAAAAGTATAAAACAATTCAAAAAATTTACAAAAGCAAATTACATTCTCCATTGAATTAATTTAAATTGAAATGAAAAAGTTTGAGAAATGCTTGTTTTAAAGTTTATTTTATTAAATATGGCTGAAGTTTTTAAAGTATTTTTATCAGACATTTTTATTTCATTTAAAAATTAGTAATAACTATTATTTTGATTATGTATTTATAATACATAATTAAAATAATAAGACAAACTGGATTACTATTGTTTATACAAACAATCTTTTTTCTGCTGTTTTTTTTTTAAATTCAAGTTTTGACAAATTTGAGACTGTCACTTAATACACATTACAAAAAGAAAAAAAAAAATGTAAATTTATTAACCACAATGTTTTGTTATAATATATATTTTCAAATATCAATACAAAATTTTAGCAACAATACAAAATAAGGGAAATAATAATAAAGTTTTATCAATACAATATAATATCAATATTATTTTATATATGTCAATATCAATATAATATAATTATAAGCTTAAATTATCTGACATTTTATGAAATGAAGTTGTCATACTCAGAAAACAATTAAAAACCACTTTAATTAAATCAAAACCCATCAATTATACTTAAAATGGTAAAAAGCAGGTTAATGCCTTTCTTATTCTATTGGATGTGATATTTGTCACTTTATATAAATCGAGATTAGAAAAATTAAATCACCAACTTTGTTTTATAATTATTTACTTTCTTACTGAGCTCTATGTTTTTAACTATATTTAAATTATAAAAATTTAAAGTCTAAACAAAAATTCTTACGTGAGCAGCATCTTGCAAACAAACAAACACAGCAAAGTTATTTTCTTTTTTAACTGTTTTACATAGATTTTTCACATCCTGTATACAAGTTTCATCTTTTGACAACAGATATTTGTCACTTGCAGGATCAAAGTGGATCTTTTCCTCTAAAAAATTAAGAGAGATAATATTTATCATCTTATATTAATCCAAGAATTTTGCCTAATTGATTAGTGCATGTATGTATGTGTGTATCAAATAATTTTGCCTAACTGATTTGTGTATGTATGTATGTATGTATGTATGTATGTATGTATGTATGTATGTATGTATGTATGTATGTATGTATGTATGTATGTATATATGTATGTATGTATGTATGTATGTATGTATGTGTGTATGTATGTATGTATGTATGTATGTATGTATGTATGTATGTATGTATATATGTATGTATGTATGTATGTATGTATATATGTATGCATGTATATATGTATGTATATTATATGTATGTATGTATACATATATATATGCATGTATGAATGTATGTATTTATGCATATATATATATATATATATATATATATATATATATATATATATATATATATATATATGCATATATGTATGTAAAGAGTTACGTGTAGAGCGATTTACGTATGTCTTACATAAAAAAATATATATATATATATATATATATATATATATATATATATATATATATATATGTATATATATATATATATATATATATATATATATATATAAAATTTAATTTAGAGTTTAAAAATACATAATTTAATTTTGATTTAAAAAATATATTTAAGTTTAATAAAATTAAAGTTAATTTTAATGAACTTAAATATATTTTTGAGTTTACCTATTAAATTTATTTTAAAATATTACTAAATATTATTCAATAAATATATTTTATTTGTTCTTAAAAAAAATTAGCTCATTTTTATCGCAATTGTTTTTTCGCTTTTCCTTCCTAAACATTTATTTTTTTACTCAAAGTTAAATTTTAAATAAACGGCTGCATCAAAAATTTTCACAAAACGTAAATTAAACTTTTTTTTATAATACAAGTTAAACTCAGCAATTATTTTTAATAAACGATATATACAGCATTATAATTTTAATAAATGATGTTTGGAAATATTATCTTTGCATTCACAACAAAATCGTTTATAAAATAATAAACTTTTAATAAGTAAAGTAAACAAATTAATGTAATTTTTTTATTTGTTACTCGCAACTTTTTTAAAAATCATTTGTGGTTGCAAAGCCGCAATTAGAAATTTAAGAAACAATTATTAAAAATTCAAAAATTATATATATTTTAATTCATTTATGCAAATGTTGATAAAAGAAAGAAATTTGTTTATATCAAACATTTTTAAAAGTGTAATATTAAATTTAATTATTTGATATTAAAAAAAAAAAATTAAAAAAAATAAACATTCACCTAAAAGTAATAATAAAAAAGAAGTTAAATAACATTTATTTTGTTTTGCAATAATTAATATTATTGCAGTAATTTAAAAAAGTTATATATATAACTTTAAATTTGTTTCAAGATTGAAAGGAGGATGATAACAAGAACAGCTACGCCCTTAACAACTCATACCAAATAAGTTCCAAATACATATAACTCAAATATGTCATCTAAATTATGTAGTAAATATTTTTTAACTATTGCACAAGGACATTTACACAACAGCTCTTTTTTATCTGCAGTAGAGAATCTGATTTTATTAACATCAAGTCTAGAAAGTTTGCAAACAGAGCAAGTTGTGTCTGGTATAATAGATGCAAAAATAAATAGAATTGTCAATGAACAATTTATTTTGTTTTCTAGTGGAAACCTACTGACAATTACAATTAGATGTTTTGAAAACAAGGCAAAGAGAAGGTCTCTATATACTGTTATGTACATTTAAGACATTTATTTTTTATTTATTTATGCCTAGGTCAGTAAAAAAAGTATCTCTTCAGGTGATTAAGTAACTTCAAACATTATTATTTATTGTTATTTTCCAGGTCAACTTTTTCGACAGTATTGATGCCACAACTAGAAATAACCTTGTTTTTTTGTTTCATTTTAGATTTAATAAAACTGCGTTGTCTTGACCCTAGTCGACTTTTGTTCGTATTATATATATATGATGGAGGAGTACTATGAATAGTGGTGGACAGTGCTGTAAAATCCTTTCCATAGTTGAAAATGTGCAAGAATCAAACTTCAATTTGAGAATAATTTTAGAGAAACTCAATTTACAAGATGATAAGCTTTCAGCTGTTTTAGATTTGAAATAAACTAATACAGTTTTTGGAATTTCAATTCTTTGGTGTGTAGGCTCAAGTGGAGTGCATGGCAAATTTCGAAAACTTGAAACCCTTGACTATCGGTAGAAAAGATACACTGTCAAAAATAGTTTAAGGAAATCTAATATGAAACATTTAATGAATGAGCAGGGTGTTAACCAGCCTGATGGCACCGCATATAATGCGGTATTCCCAATTGGTTTCAAATTTGCAAAGGTTCATAAGATCATAGTAAAAAAAAAAAATTGAAATCAGTCTCAGATTTTAAGTGTAGCGCTAGACAAGTAAAAAACGCAATTTGAAGCATTTTTTTTAATCTGTAAAAACGTGTCGTCATTAACAAGCATCCATACATTAACATGATCATTCGTTCAAAAGTTTAAAAAAACTTTTTATTTTAATTTTTATTGACGTCAGTTAATCTTGAGTTAAGATTTTTTAAAGTTTAATAAATTATTTTATTAATTTATTTTCATTATTCAAAAACTTTTTATTTATGTTTTTGCTGTTTATTAAGTTACAAAGAAATTTGCACAATAATAAATATTATACTTTAAAATAAGTTAATAGCGTTTTTGTAATAAAAGATTTATTAATACTCTCAGTAAAATAAATAAGCAGGTAAAGTAAATTGAAAATAACAACAAAAATAATCAAAAATAAAACTTGCAATTAAACGTATGTAGATATTAAATGAATATAATGTAAATTGAAAAAATAATAATAATAATTTTGTATTTAAATACATTTTTTTAATTTAAATACCTAATTTACTAGATATTTAAAATATGCCAATTAAATTTAGTTGCTGCCTCCATGCGGTGAAAGAAACTCCCTTTGCCCCCTATATGTCTTTGTTACTTATTTAAATTAAAGTAGCATATTGCAACAAAAGTTCTTTTAACAAATATTATATTTGACGGAAATCAGCGAGCCAACCAAGTTTTTTCAATTAAAAGTTATTAAGATTTCGAAAACTTTCATTTAATTTTCATTTAAAAATTAATTTAAATAAGTTTTTAAACTGTTAAATTTATCTAATGATAAAAATTTGACATTTGTAAAAAAGTTTTTTAAGTATTTTTAAATACTAAAGTATTTAAATAGTTATATAGTCAAATATATTTCTTCAGAACTAATCATTTAAACCTTTTAAAACTGTATTAAAAAAGCGATGTACGCAAATAATCTAGATCAAAGTTTCAATGAAATTTAACAATACATTCATTAGAACAGCAAACAATTGTCTTTAGTTCTTGTTTTCTCTCTTCTTTACTGCAGCCGTTTTTCAAAGCGCCTTATGTAAAAAAAAAATCAATTTGACTATTTTTACCAAATAAGCTAGTTTAGATGTCTACATATTTTGAAAGAGTTCTAAAAAAATTCATAAAAATTATTAGTTTCAAAAAGCGTTTTACAAAGAGTTTCCAAAAAAAAAAAAATTTAATTACGTTTTTCTCGAAATACCTATTAAGGCGTTTTGAAAAACGGCTACAGTATATCAAACAAAGAGGAGAAACGATTTAAAAATGAAAACTTTAGAAGATTGCCCATAATGAAACAAGCTAAATAATTAGAATTAAACATTCATAAAATAGAAAAATAATCCTGCTATAACTATAACACCCAGCAAAAAAAGAACATTTATTTTGATTAAAACTTAATCATATCTAAGTATACTTTTTTTTTTTTTTTCTAGCCGCACCTAAATTCCCATTTTCGCAAAAACGCTGTATAAAATTTTTTCCTGGGTAACACCCAGACATGATATCTCCATGGATACTTTATCTTGATGAAGATCCAAATATGTTAACCCAACATTTAGTACCTCCTCTAAATTACATATCCTGATATGAATTACAACTACACTAGGATGTTTATTGATGGATCTTTGGCCTGGATTTGAGAAAATTTCAAAAAACAGCAACATTTTATAGAGATAGTATCAAGGTAGAGGTTGGAATGGGAACAATTTAAACCAGATACTCAAGTGTATTGATGAAAGACTTTAAGGTTAGAAAAACTTTAAGGTTGTAAAAGATTCTTGTTTTGGTAGAACGCTTAAGGTTATCAACAGGTCATACTAAAATTTAAGAATTCTTTTTTATCTGCTCAAGAAAATGCAAACATTCTTGGGAAAAACTTTCAATTAGTTGGAAAGTACATATACTCTTGAGTCATTAGCAACCTTTTGTTAAATACCATAACTGTGCCTAATCTAGGTTTGCTGAACAATGAGGAGAATAAATACATTTCAAATTCAAACCAACACGGAACAGGTTCAAAAGACAAGTTGATATCAATGAATATGGTGGAAGACTTCTCTCATCTATGATCAACTTTAACAGAAGAAGAGTTAGTTATGTTTAAGAGGTTCCATCTTGGTTATATTTGTATTGTAAATAATTTTTATGTTTATTATTGTTTTAATATTTGCTTAATTCATTTAAATAGATTAAAAAAAAGAATAAAAAATAAAAAAGATATAAGTTTTAAAAGTTCCCTTTAGCTCCATTTATTACCCTTCGCACTTTGTTTTGATTTTAAAAATAACTTTTTATTCTATTATATAACAAATACTCTTAAAAATAAAAAAAACATATATATATAAAAATATAAATAAATAAATAAATAAATATATATATATATATATATATATATATATATATATATATATATATATATATATATATATATATATATATATATATATATATATATATATATATATATATATATTACAAAATATCTTTGTAAAAATTATAATAGAAAAAAATTACTTTATTTAGGCACGTGTGTAAAAATCTTAAACTATTCTTATTATTGATTATTATATATCATTGAAAAGAGGCTAAAACCAACATTACAATAGTGAAAATTTCATAACAAAATAACAATTCTACAAAAATTTATGCTTATTTAAGTAACAAAGTTTGATTACAAGGATTGCTTTAAAAATCTGCGATCAGTTTTAAAATATCAGTTTCGGCTAACGGTAGTTTTGTTATGGAACTTTGTTGCTAGAAGCGAAATATTTTCCTTTATTTACAATATTTTAACTAAGGTATATATTCTGCTACAAAAAATTTGGTGTCTGCTACAAAATCTTTTTTGATAAAATTTGGCATGCACGTAGAAAATAAGTTATTAAATTTTTCTCAATAGTTTCAAAAATGTTCTCATCATTCCTTCAATATGAATTTGATGTGTGATCAACAATGAAGTTTTTAAGAAAAGTAAATTCAATAAAAGCGGTTGTAAATACAAAATAAAACTATCCAAAAATGAAGTTTAACTCTTCCACTTTTCAAAAAGTCTATGCTGATATAAAGTTCTTAAAAAATAACACAACAAAATACATTCTTACAACTCAAACGCTAAGCACGCTTTGATAAAATGGTCGAAGATTTTGATTACATAATAGGTGCTCATTGGATACGCACGTACATACTTTATTCACTACCTTGCATGTTTGTTGTAAACAATCATTTTTATATCAAAGTATAAAACAAACGAAGTATATAAAATTTTTATATCAATGCATAAAACTTGTTTATTAAAATTTTAATTGCAAACAATTTATCTTTCTTATTCTACCTAATCTTTTCTTTCACTATCACTGCAACATAAAATTTCAAAAACAAAAATATATGTTTTGGGACAAGTACATTACACATATGTCCACCAACTCACTAATAAAGACTATGCTATTTAATTATATTATAAACCAAAATATAAAATTACTTTTTTGTTATTGTTATTATTGTTATCATTATTAAATATCTATAAATACGCTCCTAACTTTTTTTGTACTATTAGCAGTTTAAATTTTTGATGATAAAACACGACTTGTGTATACCTTTTATTTGTGTGTCAATACTTTTGCCTAAATATCAGTCAAAAAGTATCCATGTAATATTATAATAATAAACTTTTACAAAATTTATCATATTCTAAGGGGATATAGTTTAACCTACCCTCTTTTTGACTAGGAGGCCTAGCATTTCCATGTATAATAAAATGTAGAAGTATCAGAAGTAAATAAACTTTCATTGAATTTATTTTTGTTCGGTTAAAATAATTAAACTCCGCCATTTCTTCACTTCCACGATTAATTCGTAAAATTTTAAATTTAACTACGGACTATGACACGTAAAAGATCTTCGCAGACTAAAATCCGGATTGCACTCTTTCCGATAAATTTATTTTTCCTCTAATTGACTGAATGCTTTTATAAATATATTTCAAATAATAATTATTTGTTTACGTAAACAAAAATTTAGGAGTTAAAATTTTTTTTGAAAATCAAAGTTTAAATATTTTTTACAACCTGAACTGATCATGAACAACTATGGAAGCTAGAATTTTAGAAACTTGATTTTTTTATATGATAAAACACAAGTAAATTAATTTTTATCAAAAAGTAAATTACATAAGTAATTTTAAACGTTTAATGTAAATTTACATTTTCGTATAAGTAATTAATTTTTTTGAAACGACTTTTACTTAATAATGTAAGTTTATTTACTTTCAAAAGTAAGATTACATCGAAAAGTAATTTACTTTTACATATAAAAGTAAGTCTCATGAAAAAGTTTTTTACTTTTACATTTAAAAGTTAGTTACTTTTGAAATTTAAATTTAAAAGTTAATTACTTTTGAAAATTTTATTACATGATATAGAAGTTCTTCAAACTGCAATTTACATTTACCTATAAAAGTAACAAATTAAAAAATATATATTTTAAAAAAAAAACTTACACATGAAAATAAATTACATAAATGTCATATGCTACCAAATGTAAAGTAAATTTACAAATAAAGTGATATTTTAATATATATTTTAAGTAGAAATTTTTTATGCACAAATGTAAAATCTAGAATTCATAAAAAGCTGAAACATGGCAGTGAGAAGGCTCATATACCCATGGAAGACTCAGAAAGGGTAGACTACTTGAAATACATATTTGGAATAATTGTTAGTTTTATTTACAGATTTTTTGCGTAAAAGCTTTTATTATTGAAAAAATAAGGAGGGAAAGTTTAAATCATTCCTGGAATATAGGGACTACAACGCCATGTCCCGGAGATTTAGGAGCTCCGAAATTTTTAGGAGGATGCTTAATTTTTGTAAGGTTTTTTCGCCACTTTGATAAGAAAAAAGGCCACCTGCTCAATAGTATCCCCAGATCTTGCAAGTCCTAATCCGGCTACAACCCTGATTTAAGAACTACGGTATTTTATGGGTGTGAAAAAGTTAGTACTATTTATGTAAATATCTTTATCTGTGTGTAGTATCAATGGCCTATCTACAGCAAGGCCAGTGTAAGCAAAAGTTACCGTCCCTCAAGACACTAGGATCAGGGCCGCGGTGCTTCGGAGCCTCAAGATGTATTTAAAAAATTTTTTTTTTTTTTTTTTTTTTAGTAAAACTTATTGTTCCAGAGAAACAGAAGTTGGGTACCTGGACCAGTATAATTACTGGCCAAAAATATTTTGCTAAGCCACTGTGAAAGATACGTATAACCCAAGCAGTAGCTAAGCAATGATTTATACGTAGGTTAAGAAATAAAACTGATGATGGGAGCCTGGAAAAAAAATACCCTAAAACATTTACCCTCCCTACCCCAAATGTGAGGGCAACAAATTAATAACTTTTATTTTTTATTTGCTTACACTAAATTTAAGTCGACAGGTTTGAAAATTCAAAATTCAAAGGGTATGATTATATAAATTTTACACCCAAATCGAATAAGATGGTTGTTTCAACATTTTCCTAAACATTCTAATGTGATATGAATAAAAACATACTTAAGTTTGACACTTAACTATGTTTTATTTACCTAAAGTATATTTATTAACCAAAATAATTGATTTTGCATAACTAAATTAATATTGTACCTCAAAATTTACGCAAGTAGGCATTATTATATTATTGGTTACCATAAAGTCTTTAAGTAAGTTTTAAACATATTATATGGTTTTTAACAACACATAAAGAGACCTCATTTGTACGTAACTTTTTATAATACTATTAGTTAAAGATGCTGTTGATTAAGTAATTCTAATCGGTTTGGTAAGAAAAGGAATCGCCGCATTTTTCAATTATGAAACCTTTTTATATCGCTTTTGACGTGGTATAATACTACGCAATACTTGTATTTAAATTAATTTAAAATCAAATTTTGTAATTTGTTTAATTTATATTTTCATGGATAATATTTTTTTTAACTATTTTATTTATATCCTAAAAAAATAAAAATACTCAGAATTTCTGTTATTTATGCAATATTTCTTCTGTTTTAGTATGTTATTTTAGAAAAAAATTTCTATTTTTCTAAAATATTTGGCATTTCAGCTACTTATATATTAATTTTTTTTAGGTATAATCCCAAAAAATACAAAACTATAATTGAACCTGTCATTTCGAAAAGTGCACAAGTCCATTTATTAAACTTTTCAAAATCAACAAAAACATGATTTTTTAATAAAATAATATCTTCGCGGTTAAAGAAATTAAATATAGATGTAGGTAAATAAAGAACGTATGTAACTTATGCAAAATTTTTATGAAAAAAACATAATTCATACAGAAGTTTTCAATTTAAATTTATAAACAAAGTGTTAAAAGTTTTGGACTTGTGTCCTTTTCGAAATGACAGGTTCAATTGTCAAGTAAATTAAACTCAAACTTCAGAAAAGCACTTTAACTCCAATTTTTAGTGACAAGCTTTTAATGACTATATTATTTTACGGATTGTTAGGGGCTTGGCGATAAAACTTTTTTTGTCTTCTTCTTACCCCGCCATTTGTATATTTTACAAATGAAAAGTAATTATTTGTAACGGCAAATTTAGAAAGATAAAAAGTTATTAAAGTTAAAAATTAGCCACATAAAAGAATGTCTTTATGTAATAAAAAAAACAATCAATGACCAAATTAAATTTTAAAAAATTATTATTTGAAAATATTGTTTGACAATATTTTCAAATAATAATTTTTTAAAAAATCAAAAGTTTTCCCTCAAAAAAAAATCAAAAGTTTTCCCTCGCAGAGTCTTAATTTAAATATACAATCAAAATAGGAAATTGTTTGATGAAAATCACCGCGTAAAAGAGCCTAATATCTCCTACTCATGTTCTAAAAATATTTTTTGCGTTGCGTAATTTATGGACGATCCCTTATCACGTAAAAAGAATTAAATTTACTGACGCTCTGAACTTTTGAATGAGGAACAGAATTTAATAGTTAGACGAACTTATAACTAAAGATTATATTTTAAATCCTCTAAATAATTGGGGAGGTTGTTCAAAATTTATATGGTCATAATTTTTGAACACTAAGAGATTATTGCATAATAATATTATATACTTTTTTTTTAACATTTCATTTACTTTTTTTTTAACATTTCAAACTAAATTTAAATTCATTAACAAATCCCTAATATTATTAATATTAGTGACTTGTTAATGAATAATATTAGTAGACTTGTTAATGAATTTAAATTTAGTTTGAAATGTTAAAAAAAAAGTATATATAAATGTTATAAACTCGTCGTTCTCACGCGAATGGCACAAAAGGGAGGTAAACAATTTAGGGTTTTATTGTTAACAGACTCCGATTATCGCAATACTTTTGAAAAACTTTACATAAACATGAATATATAAATGTTTAAAGTTTGCTCCATGTCGTTACATAAAGTTAAATTCTATAACAAAAATAAAAAGCCTGCTATTGGCCTGATTTTAAATATGTTATTGGAATCTGGTTGTTTAAATATTGTGATTTACACTTTTGTTAACTTTTTTACTTTAAATTTTTGAAAATTTAAAGTAAAAAAAGTAACAAAAATTTACTCAAAAAAAAAAAAAAAAGAACTTGATGTTATTCCGTCTATATGATGAAATAACTTCAAGACACTTTTTTTCACAATCGACCATATAATTTTAAGTTTAAAAGTGTGCTTTTTTGAACCACCCTAAAATAAAAAAATAAATTAAAATAAGCGGCTGTTGCGGTTTTGAAAAAATTTTTTTAAGTTAATTATTTTTACTTTTATAATTTTAAGTTTTTTTTTTTTTTAATTGTTATTTGAAATATTATTTAAATCTTGATGTTATTTAAATCAGTTATTTAATAGTATTTTTTAAAAGACTGTCTGGTTTATTGTTCTTGCTTCGGAAATGGCTCAGCATCTTGCAATTTTATTCTATGTTTTGTATTTTGGCTTCTTTTATTCAGCGTGGTTGTTATTTAAAACCAATCTAACCAAAATGAAAGTTATTTCTGGAAATGACTAATTGGAATAATTGTTGTCTGGAATAGACTAAATGAAATTAGTTCATTCCAGACATTAATAGCTATTAATAAATAAACAGAAAAAAAAATAACTTTCATTTCTGTTAGAGTGGTTGTTACGGCCAAGGCCGTCCGAACGGGGGGTATAGGGGGTATTCCCAACCCCAAGCTGTTATATATGAATTTGAATTAGCACATTTGCACATTTAGATTGGCAAATTTTGAAGTATAGTTGGCAAATGTCAAATATTGAGGATCTTTTTGTGTGTGTGTCTCTCTCTCTAGTTGGCAAAAAGCGCATATGACCCCTCCCCACCTTTATGAGAGACGGCCCTGACAACGACCACGCTGAATAAGAGAAGTCAAAAGCAGCAGCATAGCTACAAATACGCCTAGCTCCTTTACGGTAAACTTTTATCAGGGCCACTAACCTATTTCCTCTCGACAAAAAAATTAATATTAAAACAAATAAACCAAAGAAAATTTTTTTTTGATTCATTTGTTTTAGTATTAATTTTTGAAAAAATGCTTTGAAAAGGCATTTAAATGCCTTTTCAAGCATTATTGCAAAAAATCTTTCTTTCTAAAAAGTTATAAACCCCAACTTTAAAGAAAAACAAAATATTAGAGAATAAAAATGAGGGTACGACCCCCCTTGTCCAGTTAACAAATTTAACATGCATGTTTATCTACTACACAATTGCTGTTAAGATAAAGTAAAGTCTGAATGTTAAACTAAAATCAAAAAAAAAAGATATTCAAAAAAGTGGAATGTATGTTTATTAAATTTACACAAATGTTGACAGTTTCAGAGCTCTAGCTAGTCTGTAAGGTAGTGAAAAATCAATCGCAAGATTCCGGGACAACTGGCCAACAAAC